CGGTGCTATGAAGTTGAATTTAACTAGTCGAGATTTGCATTGTAGCATTGAATTATCATTTTAGAATTTCCGAAACAGGGGATTTGTCGTTTCGCATTATACTCCAATTTCCCACGATTCATCTAGATTGCTAATGCAGCTCCAATACATCAATTTGCGATTTAATTTCGGCCTTGTTTTTCTCGTACCGTTCTGGAATGCCGAGCAACAATCAGCAGCGAGCTGATAAGTTTTGTAATTAAAAGCATAACGATTCGAAAGAAATGATAATTGGAATTAGCCAAACAAATCTGTAGATATTGAAATCTATTTTTCGCTTAAACCTTTCTTTTATATTTTAATTTGGAACACGAAACAAGGTCAATCGAACAAGTTATTTAAAATAATACAGAAATTATTTTGTTAAATTATTGTATAAAGAATTAATGAATAAACTGTAGAAGTAAAACGTCTAGAATCTTGGTGATCATGAAGATGAAGCATTAACAGTATGATTCACTAAATTACACATACTTAATAAAGACGTTGATAACATCAATGCACATTAAAATTTGTTAAAATATCCAACATTTTTAGCCCAGTTAATGTTTATTTTTCAGATTGGGAAAACTTAAATTCTTATTGATCTACCGTCAAATTTGTAATTACCCTTAATCAAAAAGGTGATCTACTAAAAAAAAGAGACTTGCAACACATTAACTTATTCCTTTTGTTTTTTATTATCCATTTAATAAAATTGTTACAACAGACCGACCAATTATTTTGCAATTGAGCTAGTTTGTCGTCGGTCTTCGCAGGTCGTTCAAGGGTAAGAAAATTATTTTCAACAGGACAAAAACGTGGAGCCTAATCGTGACCAATTGGCCGGAACATCCGGATAATGGACATCTTGTTAAGGTTTTTTTCCTACGCCGAAGGCGCTTCATTCACACTTTATCAATCACTGTATCATCATGTATGAAAAAGTCTCAAAAGGAGTCTCTTTCATACCGTTTTACTATCTAGTTGAAACGTTCTTCTTAGAGTTTTATAATGCAGTCTTTGTACTTTAGACATGTGGAATGTGTACAAGATGTTAAACCCGAAAAGCTTGATATGTTTGCTAGCTGTTTTGATCTCCCCAACTACTGAAAATGGCGGGAAACCGAAACACAAATGACAGACAAAAACAGCACGTACACTTTCGAATTATGTGCAAATTACTGTTTAGAGTAGCCCCATATTAGATGCCATAGGTTCAAACAAAGCTGCTTACATAACGTGAAAAATTAAGGTTCTGAAGCGCTATGGTCATGCCAGTCCTCCGTGCGTTGTTACTTCTTCCTGACTTTCACGTGTGTTTTTTTTTTAACCTGCAGCAATTTGAATGTCTCAGTCCAGTTGCATTCTGTTTCTATCTGTACAGTAAATCCGTATGATTATTTGGAGATCGTGAGATGCGTTCTTGGTGGCGTAGGTCTTAGAAAAACGTTTTCTTTATCGTGCCAACGTTTCGATCTTCATTGAGATCATCATCAGGGCTCAAAGTGATTGTTTTGGTAAAAGTGTCATTCTTGTGTGTCGTGTTGAGGCGACAAGCAGCTAAGGTCATCTCATTTTGATCTTTTTTTCTTTTCTTTTTTAAATCTGCAGCTGAGTGTTTCGATCTGTTTTTACAGATATTTTATGTGTGGTAAATCGACATGCTAAAATACTATCATCTCTTGTTGTAATTCAGGTTGTCAATCACCAACTACTGTTAAAACACAAATATACAATAGGGTTGTGCGCTTCTGAACCACTAAGCACTTCGACCGACAGGAAACCTCCATTTTCAAGGTGCTGAATCTTCTCAACTTTGATAAGTTGATTGAGTCGTTTATTTTTGACGTACCCAAATTTGGTTCTAGCTTGCTCAAAAATATCGGTATTAAGGTAAAGATGTTACTGCTTTGCCAGCCAGTTTTGAATTGTCTCCAAATTGACATTCATGGGATTTAGACTGAGACAGTCCCCATAACGAGATGCTATAGGTGTAGAGTTAGAATGCCTTTCTACACATTTTCTTTTATGTTATAAGGGCTTTCCAATGATGCCTAAGGTTAAAGGCAATAGCAAGGAGCATCTATAGTGTTGTTCTGACAGTTTGGAATTTCCTGCAAATTACTTAGCCTCGGACTGCCACATAACTTGATGCCACAGGTGTAGAGTCAGAATGTCTTCCAACATATTTTTCTGCATTTGATTTCCAGTGCTACTCTTTTCTTTTATGATATGACCTATCTAGCATTGCCTAGAATTAAGGACAGCATATCACAATCTTAACCGAAAACTTGTACGACGTCATGTATTTAAAATCGTCGCCTAATATGTTAAGCAAAGAGTTTCGTAATACAAATAATATTTGCCAAATAACTTTCCAAAATACAGAAATTGTTAAAGTCAAAGGTTGCAATATTAAATTGTTTTTATTTTTCCTCAGTTTTTTTTTTCTTCAGATACAACGCTAGCTGTTCAGAAACTGGGCCGGAATGAGGAGAAATGTTAAGGGCAAGAGCGTCCTTTCAGCCGTCACAACGATATCCTCAACAATTCCGCTATCGCACCCTTTTGTGCTTACCCTCTTTCAAGGGGGTGATTTTGTATCGATTCACTGGCTCTCGGAGGATGGAAGGGGCGCGACGCAAACTGAAGCTACGCAGTGTTTCCATTTCATCTCATGAAAAAAAAATTTAAACCATTTTCTAACAAGTACATAATGATATTATTTCCCCAGCGAGCGTGGAACTCTCAAAAGTAAACAATTATGATTCATTTCATGAATTTCAAGGAGAGGATGTGAAGGACGGCTTTACATCACGCCATAGCAGTTTTCCATTCATTATTATTACTCATGTTTTGTAATTTGCCCAAGCCCTGAAGATAAGCGAATAATGGTTGAAACGTCGGCACAAAAATGAAAATGCCGGTTTTCTAAAATATTTTATTACTGCATTCCTGAACACTCCTGACTACTTCAACAAATTAGTATTATTATTGTGTGGTGTTTAGTGACGGTTAGTCAGTGATTAATCGGAGATCGTGAGATGCGGTCTGGTGTGACGTAGGTTTTAGAAAAACGTTTTCTTTATCGTGCCAATGTTTCGATCTTTATTGAGATCATCTTCAGGGCTCAGAGTGTTTGTTTTCCGTGTAGATATTATGTCACTCTCAACACGACACACAAGAATGACCCAATTCGATACAACGAAATAGCGATTTTTCATCAACACTTTAGGTCTTAATTGTTATTTCCGCGTAATTAAGTTTTTAAATAAACAGTCAAGTGCCAAATAGTACCGAATTCATGTAAAAGACAAAATATAAATAAAGTAAACACTCACCGAACAAATTTGCAATTTAATAATTGGGCTAATCATTAAAGTCAATAAGTCAATAAACGAAAAGGAATAATTAATAGGATTTGAAACGAACAAAGGCAAAAAGTAAATACATTTGTCAATCCATATATGTTTTAAATTAATTAAATTTTTTGTGGCCGTTAATTGAATATTGAAAGAGGCGTGACAAATGTTACATAAAAATGTTATGTTGCATTTGATTTATTTATGTCGTGCGTCTCTAATCTTTAAAAATCTTTAGTCCTAAAAGATTCAAATGACAAATCAATGGCTCATAGAGTATTGTACTGATAGTGTATTCCATGCGTGTCTTTCTACCATTTTACGTGAAGAAAAAGTGAACAAAATAAATTTAAAAAGTGAATGAGAAAAAGAGAGAGTGAGAGAGAGAGAGAGAGAGAGAGAGAGAGAGTGTGTGTGTGTTTGTGTGTGTGTGAGAGAGAGAGAGAGAGAGAGAGAATGCTAAAACAACACCTTCATTCACATATAAAACAAAAAAGCTTCTAAGATATGAAACACAAGCAAACAAAACGAATAAAAATAAAACAGCCTTGAGTGACNAGAGAGAGAGAGAGAGAGAGAGAGAGAGAGAGAGAGAGAGAGAGAGAGAGAGAAATAAAGACATAACATATGTAAGAAAGAGAGAGGGTGAGGGAGAAATAAAGACAAAACATATGTGGGAAAAACAGAGGGAGAAAGAGAGAGAGAGAGTAAAGAAAAATAAAGACATAAAATATGTAAGAAAGAGAGTTAGGGAAAAAGAGGGGGCGAGAGAAAGACTAAGAAATAAAGACTTTAAATATGTAAGAAAGAAAGTATAAAGAGAGAGGGGTCCAAGGATAGGAATAGGGAATGAGAGAGAGACAGAGAGAGAAATATAAAGTAAGTGGTACAGTGGTATTTACACGTACACAAAAGCAAAGTGCCGGGCAGAAAAACATCAATTACTTCGTGTGTTTTTTTTTGTCCTTCTTTAACTTTTTTATTTTTAAGGATTGGTTGTTTCTTATTTCTAGACATTTTGTGAGGGTTTTGAAGAAATGTGGATAATGCTGTATTGAGGCAAAGGATGGTTTGGGGCGTCCGTCGGTGAACGCAACGAAAAACAAAATAGAGAACAAGTATGTCGAATAGTCAACAACACAAACATTAAACAAAGAATTTCATTTCAGGACTATCCTTTCCAATTGTTTAACAACAAAACATACTACGGAAGATAAAAATAGGATTTGATTTAATTATCACTTTATTTAATAGTGATGGTGATGTGATTAGTGAATAGCTGTTGATTAAAACGATTTATCAATATTAAGATAATTTTAGTGTGGTAAAAGAAATGCAATCGAGTAAAATATTTGCGTAAGGAAACTGTGTGCAAATATTTATGTGTTTGTCAATATTTTGATGTGTGGTGAAGACGGGGTTCGGTGAAAGCGGAGGCGGCGGCGGCGGCGGCGGCGGTGGCGGCGGAGGCGGATCGGAATGCTAGTGGCCGGTACGTCACGGCTTAGTAATATCAGGTGATGCGGACGCCGTTGACGTCGGGGGCCAACACGTGATGCCTCTCGGCCAATGGGAGCCGAGAGACGGGGAGGGCTCGGTCTAAACAGGCGGCGCTCCCCACTCGGCCGAGTCAGTTCAATCGGCAGCTCCGTGAGGCATGGGTCGTCTCCTGCTGTGTTCAACGGCGCTCCTTTGCTTACTGGTGGCGACGGCGAAATCCGAGGGCGGGGACGCCCTGAAACAATTCGAGTGCAAGAACGGGATGAAAGTGCAGATGGTATGGAAATGCGACGGGGATAACGACTGCGGTGACAATTCCGACGAGACGGACCCCGAATGTTTGGAACCGCCGGAGAAATGCCCGGTCGGCGAGTTTCGGTGCGACTGGAAGGTCTGTTTGCCGGAAAGCATGATGTGCGACGGCGAACGGGACTGCTTGGACGGCTGGGACGAGAGACCCAGCCACTGCAAGCCCAAAGGGTGCGAAGAAAGACAGTTCGAATGCGGGAACGGTGGCTGCATCCCGTGGACGTGGGTGTGCGACGGCTCCGACCAGTGCAGCGACGGCTCGGACGAGAGAAACTGCAGCAAATGCTCGATCGACGAACATAAGTGCCGTAACGGGGCCTGCATACAGAAAAATTGGATTTGCGACGGCGACGACGATTGCGGGGACGGCTCGGACGAGAAGGAATGCTCTGTGGTACCGTGCGACCTGACGAAGGACTTTCTGTGCGGTGACAAATGCTGGCCTCTCACGTTCAAATGTGACGGGGATAACGACTGTATAGACAGATCGGACGAAGAGGGTTGCGATGTGTGCCAAGAGAACGAGTTTCTTTGCGCGGACAAGACTACTTGCATTCACAAAGCTTGGGTTTGCGACGCGAACATCGACTGCCCCGACGCTGACGACGAGAGCTTCGAGATGTGCAGAAACAGCACGTGCTCGAAGGGCCGGTTCCAGTGTCGCGGCCACCCCTCGATTTGCGTTTCGCCCGGTTCCCTGTGCGACGGTAAGAAAGACTGCCCCGACGGTTCGGACGAAGAGAGTTGCCACAATTCCGTGGGACGGTGCGGCGAGGAGGAAATGGAATGCGATGGACGCTGTGTCCACAAGTCGAAGCAATGCGATGGGTTCAAAGACTGTCAGAACGGCGAAGACGAGCCGGTTGACAAATGCCACGTGAACGAATGTCTGCACAAAAACGGCGGCTGCCAGCACAAATGTGTCGACTTGGCCATCGGCCGCGCCTGTCAGTGTTACGACGGATTTCGGCTTTACAACGAGTCTGCGTGTGTTGACATTAACGAGTGCGAAGTGTACGGCACCTGCTCGCACAAATGCCACAACGAAGAGGGCACCTACTCGTGCTCCTGCGATGAAGGATATGCCGTGTCACGAGTTGACAGGAGGCGGTGCGAAGCGACTGTACCGGGTGCTAAAATCATCTTCTCGAGAAATACTGGCATACTTACAACGAACCTGGACGGATCGGACACCAAAGTTGTCATAGGAGATACCGAACGTGCCAGAGGGATGGATTACGACTATAAAACGGGTTATTTATTCTACACTGATCATATCAAAGGTAAACAGCATTTATTCCGTTCCCATATGAACGACGGGAAGATCCGTTTTATGATTGTGAAGAACATAAATTCTTCTGATAATCTAGCCGTGGATTGGATTTACGATCATATCTATTGGACAGATACAGGCAAGCTTTCTGTCGAAGTGGCCAATTTTGACGGGACCATGAGAAAAACTTTAATTAATGATGGGCTGGATCAACCTAGAGCCCTGGCGGTAGACCCTATGGAAGGCTACATCTTTTGGAGTGACTGGGGTATGAACGCCAAAATAGAGAGGGCGGATATGGACGGTACACAAAGGAAGGCACTAGTCGTCAAGGATATAAAATGGCCCAACGGTATCTCTTTAGATCTACGTACAAAAAGATTGTATTGGGGCGATGCTAAATTGAACGTAATCGAATCTGTCAGATACGATGGATCTGCACGTAAAGAAGTGAAACAATCACCTGAGTATCTTCACCATCTTTATTCACTTACCATTTTTGAGGACTGGATTTATTGGACCGACTGGGAGACTTTGTCGATTTACAAAGCGGACAAATTTGACGGTGGGAATATGACCAATGTGATGCCCAACAAGGCATTACACGATCCGATCACAGTGCATATAATTCATCCCTACCGCCAGCCTCGGCATGAGAACCGCTGTGCCGATTCTCAGTGCTCACATTTATGCTTTCCAAAACCCAGATCAGCCCTGGGAGAATCTGTGAGCTGTGCTTGTCCCGATGGGCTGCAACTTCTTCCAAACAAGAAACTCTGTGGACTGATTATGCCGTCTACTTCTGAAGCTACACCGGTCACTACCATCACTCCAAAATCTCCTTCGGACACCATAGTCATCGATTTTGAACCAAATATGGAGACAACGAGGGAGATGGACTACGCCATTTTGACTATCATTGTTGCTTCAGGTGTATCTCTTCTCATCCTTTTCATCGCGTTCTTCTCACTAGTCCTTTATAAGCTTTACCTTAACGGAAACATTAAGATCATGAACTTTGACAACCCTATGTATAAAAAGACTGCAACATCACCTTACAACATCGAAGCTCAACTCAGTTACCCTTCGACTCCTAGCGAAGAAGCGAGACATCCTCTTACAAGTACTCTCACAATGGAGTCTACTGTCTACCAGTAATATTTCCTTTAATGTTTTAAGCACACGAAGGTTAATGTTTCCTAAGGTGGCTTTCACCCGACTGAAAAATCCGTCCAATGAGTCCTTTCCTTAGATAATTTCATTAGTATTTTTGTCATTAGCTGTCAAAAACTTTTATTTATTTGTTTTTAGTTTTAATAGTATATTTAATAATTAAAAAAGTATTATTTTGTTGATTAAATGATTGTTGATTCTTTTTGTACTTTTGTAAATAAATAATTTATATTTTATATAGTTACCAGTTTTTTATTTTATTATTTGTATGTCCTTTTCATTTTATTGTCATTGTTTGAATATACTTTTCACAGTAAACAGAACAAGTTGTCAAAATCAACTTGTTTCTATAAATTATTTTAATAAAATTTTCTTTTTTTTTGTCTGATTTTGATTTCATTCTCAAGGTTCGGACAAAAAACAATTGATAAAAAAAAAATAAATCAAAACATAAACAATTTTGTGTTGTTTAAAATTTCATCTTATTAGAATAAAAAAAGAAATGAGCGATTTTGGCTTTTTTCTATCAAAAATATTTTGTACTGCTGTTTAGAATAACATATTCGAAAAATTCTACTCAAAGCATTAACCAAGCTTGAGTTATAATCAATCAACAAGCAGACAATAAAGCAATTCTGGTAATATATGTAAACTATTTCACATAGCGACAAATGCTTTATGAGCAAAGTTGGCTGAGGAGTAAAATGGGCGGCACAAAATTAGTCTCGATTTAATTAGTTGTTGATAGCCTAATTGTAAATACAGGGAAGAAATGCAATAATACAAGATAAGGCTTGATGTATATAATTTTAATATATATAAGAGAATTATTAATAACCAATAAGTGGAATTAATAAAACTTGATTTTATTTTTGTTAAAGTAATTTATTTCATTCAATCAGGCTTGTAATTTTATTTTGGAAATACGCTTTACTTCCAAGTTTCCTAAAGTTCGATGAAAATTTACAATTAGATCTGTGCCAAATCATAGGAAAAAGTAATACCTAAGTTTTATTGTATACAGTATGTTGTTATTTATATCATTGTAAATTCAATAATTTTGTAATAAGCAATAAAGAGTTAAAATTTTCTGTATAATTCACTTATTTTTAGATACCCAACTTCTCTTTGTATAAAGGATTGAAGTAAAACCTTTAATCACCAAAACATGGTGTAAGTATAAGTATTTTAAAGTATTAGGAGGCATGATCATAATAATAATTTTATTTACTATCACAAAAAAAACTAATATTTATAGTAATAATAAGATGCTTTATTTCCGAATACAAATTTACATAGTAAAAAAAAAAGAATATATATAAAAGCATGTATGGCTTGGATATCCATCAGCTATTAACTTCTCAAAAATTGAAAAAAATTATGGCTAAAAAAAAATCATTATATTTAAATTCTAATTAAAATTTATATTTAGGGGTCTAGAGGTGCTAAAACGAACATCTGCAAAATTCACATTCTTTTTATATCGTGAAGATGCTTATAGAATAGCTTTAGGTGGTATAATGGTTGAAGGGAAAATCGCTCGTATCGTCTATATTTTATGTTATCAAAGGCATCAAATAGCGTTACATGGTTATATCAAAACTGGATCAATTTGCTGAGACAGACTTTACAAAAGTTATAGCTGAGGAGCAAGAGGATACATTTTTGTTTTGTGAATATTCTACTAGATAGAGAATATATAAATTCAATATTCTATTAGGGAATAGAGAAATACTTTGATTGAATATATAAAATATATTTTGCATTGTATAAATTCACTTTTCCACATTCAAAATGTAATTGTAATATGTAAACAATGTTTGTAAATCCCAGGCCCTGAAGATGATCTCAATAAAGATCGAAACGTTGGCACGATAAAGAAAATGTTTTTCTGAAACCTACATCACACCAGACCGCATCTCACGATTTCTAAATAAATATTCTACTAGATTTTAAACAAAAAAGTTGAAGGGACAGCCAAGGTTTCAAAATACTTTACTAAAATATTGTGTACTGAGTATGACTATGTTCAAACATTCGCAAATTTCCTACTTCTATCTCTATTTTTGACCAAATGCTAAAGCTGCGGGTAAAGCTACTCTTATCTGTGATGAATCTATCCAGAAACGTCGTACAATTCTGGTCTACTTGTGGAAAACAAAGATATTCCACTTTGAGCACAAATACTAAAAAAATCACAATTATGGTGATGGTGCCCATCATATCTGGAAAACACAAAGTGTGGCTACATTACAAAAGCATATTCAGATTTAATTATAAAATTTGAAAATAACTCGTTAAGTCTTCCCATTTGAATTCTCACTTCCGAAACATTAGTAATTTGGGCGGTTCAGAATAATATGTCAAATGAGGTAAACATTTTAAATTAATTTAGATTTTTTAACTTAATTATACTATCTAAGGTTTTGTTTCTTTATCTAAGCGGGATCCCGCTCGTGACATTAGCTTTTTCATCTCAACCAAGACCTTAGATAAAAAGTATAAATAATTAATACAGTCAATTATGATTATGATACATAAATTTATGAATTATTGAGATGTTCAGTCAATTATGTTTATCCAGTGACCGATGCCCAGCACTGTATTTAAACTGACAAAAGTATAAATTCTTACCAGATGGTGTTTGCCCCAGAGAAAAGGATGTCTCATTTTTTGTCCTTTTATCAAATCAACTTGAGAAAAGTATGTCTACTCATGACATGACAATTGGAATCTCAATTCTATACTAAATTACAAATCAGAAAAGCAATTAGAAAACATATACATTTGCATTATTTATTCTCTCCAACTGAATTAAAAGACTAAGAGATATTTGCCTGTTTTGAAGGATTACAGTTTTCCCTATTTGGTGACAATCTGAAAATCTACAAAATTCTACCACTATACAGGATGCTACATTATTTCAGAAATCCCTATTACTATTGGAAACCTGGTGCAATAAAAATCAAATGGTATTGAATAATCATGTCATTATCTCGTACCAGTATCTCGTCGTACCTCGAACCAAACATAATTATTATATTTCTCATACTCCATTGAACCAGTGTGATACAATGAAAGAACTTGTTTTTAATTCAAAACTTAACTTTGATAATATATCTTGTGGTGGATAAGGTAAACAAGATTCTGATTCTTGGTTGTATAAAGACTAACACTAAAAACTTTCAACACTGTACAAAGCGGTGGTGAAGCCAATCTTTGAATATGGTGTTGCCTTACGTAGCCTCCCATATTATGAGACTGGAGGTGGTCCAAAGGAAACTTATTCATCTACTTTTTTTAGTAATTTTTTGTTAGACAAATTAATTATGTTACTGATTAATAATCTTTTTTTTTTTTACGAGGGTTCGCAACAACAGATGACACATCAACCCATGAGGTGTTGGTGGTTTTGAAAAAGTATGGTGGGTTCAAATATATGAATTGATGAAGAATTGGAGGAATACAAGAAACAAGGTCGAAGATCTTAATTTAGTTTCTGAAATAGCTCATACCAACATAACACTATAGAAAGTTGGCTGGCTGACAGAGCATGGTAAACTGGATGCTAATTGAATTTAAGGTGACCTAAAAAACTCAGAAAGTTTTCAGTATTAGAAGTATCGACCACTTTACTGCCAAGCTTCGACCTATTTTACGGTTATCATCAGGCAAAACAATCTTAAATATGTTAGAGATTGACATATTTAAATTTTTACAGGCGATCTTGGGGGACTGAGTCAGTCTTCAGGGAAATTTGAAATCGCCTGTACAAATTTAAATATATCATCTGTAGTCACATTTAAGGTTATTTTGACCTAATAATAACCTTAAAATAGGCCGAAAGCTTGGCAGTAGGAACTAAATTTGCTTTCTTCTTTAAGACCTTACCTTGATCCAGTGTTCAAAACTCAGTAAGGACAAACGTTTTTCCAGAGCCAAATTATAATTCTTTTATTGTTTCATCATTTCAAATGTGAATTTTTTTTATGGACAGTGTCTGGAATCTAATAAAAATTTAACAGAAAAGGACATTTGTTTTTAAATAATAAACTATTTATCTGCAAGAAATGAAAAGTATTGTAAGAATTATGGTTCTCAGTGGATAGAAAATGGAAAATGGATATAAAAGCATATAATAATTCGTAGGATAAATTCCTTGATCTGAATAATAAACTTATTACAACATGTGAAAAAACATGTGCAACTATAGCAAAATTCCTTCACTTTGCAGGCATCAATTTTAAAGATTCAAATGACAAGGATTTAGACTTGGAATTTATATAGGCTCAAATCCACTCATGTACGTACATACAAACATGTGCTGAGTTGAGCCTAGTTGCTTCTCATAGTTCACCAGCAATTCCAGCTTTTGTTGTTTACAGTAAATTGCTGGCAGACTCAAGAATCACCCACTCCAGGTGTTGGCAGTCCACGGGCAGAATTCATTTTATACATCCAGACACCGAGTTGGGCTCTGGAGGGGGTGCTGTCAATATCCAGGTCAATTCAATTTCGGGTTAGTTCAGGTTAAGTCAGGTAGGTCAATTTAGCACCCAACGCATGCAGTTCCAAACCCATTTGTACTTACATTCATTTCTAAATATATTTACTCCTATTACATACTATTTTTTCAATTAGGGTGGTGGAGTACTCGATATTTCACCATTACCTTTTACACACATTATACAATTAACCTAACTGAGGAGTGATGTGGTATTTACTCTTCCGCCATCAACCCTCTCACATCACATATTTACGCTAATAAAAGCTAGGTATACCAATATACCATATAACCATTATTATTATACAATAGAACAAATCTGTTTCTTGCAATTAACAGGACAAGGGGCCCAAATACTTTTTCCCGTGGTCAAGCATAATTCTCAAATTGAGTGTCATTCCTGCGTTCTGTATGGAGCCAAGGAATTGCATCCTTCAATCAGGTGGGACACATCGAGTAACCTTTCCTTACATGCGCCTCTACATCTCTAAATGTGGGTTTTGGCCCAAAAGAAAGTTCCATATGTTAACACTTCTTTTATTTGATTAGTCCTTTCTTTCAATAGGAGGAAATTATTGTTAAATTAAATTCATGGGTAGTGACCGTGATTGTTTAAGTTGCAAAATCAATATACTGGCATC